GAGCTGTTACATTATGGGAATTGCAATCAATGTCATGAGACAAAGTGTATGTGAACTGCTGTATGGAAAGTAAATTTGCTCTGTAAATTTTCACCCAAATCACAATAAAAAATAAAATTAAAAAAAAAAACTTTGCTAATCTGAGTTTAAAATGTCATCCCAGTATAGTTTTAATTTGCATTTTTCTTATTTAAAATGGGAGTGAGCCATGTTTTTCATTTTCAGTAAATACTATGCTTATACTGGTCTTTTTCTTAACTTACAACAGCCTTTCACAATCGGGAAACTAGATCTTTTGTTTGTGATAATAGTTACAAATATTTTTTTCTAACTTGTTGTTCTTACTTTGCTTTTTTTAAAAAAAAGATTTTTAAGTAGTAGAATTCACTGATCTTTTCTTTTATGGTGTCTAGGTTATTTAATCTTCATTTTAAGATTATTCTCTTCAAAAAGTCTTCCAGGAATTCCACTAGCATTGTCATGGTTTTATTTTATATCTTAAAATTTTTATCTATCTGGAATTTATTTTAGTGTAAAGCCTAACATTTTGATCAACTTTTAAACCAGATAACTACCCAGTTATTCCAGAACTATTTGTTGGATAATCCATTTTGTGGCCACTGATTTTAAATGATACCTTGCCACCCTACTCTTACCAGATTGTAAACTCCAAGAAGGAAACGACTTCACACCAGTACGAAAAAAACTGTTCTAGAACAGTGCCTTCAACTGCAAAGGAACTGTATCAAGTGCTGAGGAGCAAGGATATCTCCTTGAGGACTAAGGTGCGCCTGACACAAGCCATGGTATTTCCAATCGCCTCATATGCATGTGAGAGCTGGACAATGAATAAGGAAGACCCAAGAAGAGTTGATGCTTTTGAGTTGTGGTGCTGGCGGAGAATGCTGAAAGTACCGTGGACTGCTAAAAGAACTAATAGATCTGTCCTGGAGGAAGTGCAACCAGAATGCTCCTTGGAAGCAAGAATGGCCAGACTTCGTCTCATCTATTTTGGTCCTGTTGTAAGAAGGGACCATTCCCTGAAGAAAGATGTCATGCTTGGTAGGGTGGAGGGTCCACGAAAGAGGGGGAGGCCTTCAACGAGATGGATTGACACGGTGGCTGCAATGATGGGCTCAAGTATAGCAGGGACTGTGGGGCTGGCGCCAGATCGGGTGGTGTTTCGTTCTGCTGTGCATGGGGTCGCTATGAGTCCGAAACGACTCGAAGGCACTTAACAACAACAACAGAACAGTGCCTTGAACAACACTACAGGCACTTAAATACCTGAGTAAAAAGATAAATATACAAAATTCCCATTTCACGGCGCTTTTAAGTCTTGAAAAGTATGCTGCTTCCACTGTCTTTTTGTACCTCTTAACCTTACAGTATTGTACACTGTCTACACTTCGCTGTTAAGAAAACTGAAATCCAATTAAAAATAATTTATCTTACTGTCTACGAAGACTAGCAGAAGCTGCTTCAAACGGGCGTAAGGCTGGTGGGGAAAATAAAAGATCAAAAAACCAAACCCACTGCTATCCAGTGGATTCTGACTCTCAGCGACCTTACAGGACAGAGTTAATTGCCCCAAAGGCTGTAAATCCTCACGGGAGTAAACTGCCTCATCTTTCTCCTGCGGAGTGACTGGTGGGTTCGAATTGCCAACCTTGTGATTAGGCGCCGAATGCCTTACCCACTGTGCCACCAAAGCTCATTAAATATAAAGCAGAGGCCGATAAGTGTGGCGAACAGCACCGAGACCAGTTACCATCACCCAGCCACAAATGCCATTAAGCTTCAGCCCACCCAGGCCCAAGTCTTGCCCGGAACCGTACCCTAAGGCCACTTCCTGCCACTTCTACCCTGCCCCCAGCCTGCTCCAATCACGCTGGCGCGTGCGCTGTGGGGATGTTTGCACTACAGCTACCGGTACCCAGAGACACAACCGGCTTCCGGCGCGGAGATGAGGTTAAACAAGCGCGGGCCCCTACTAATGACGTAAGCTCCGGTTGCAGCGCTGAGTCGGAAGCTGGGCCTCTTCGGTCACTGAGAATCTCTAGGACTGTCCCTGCTGGCTGTTCAGGCTCTGGTAAGAAAAGAAATTGCTTGTGGGGAGGGCATCAGAGGTCTGCAGTGAGTTTTTTCCCCCTACTCAAATATCTGTCCAGGCCTCTACACTTTTACTTCCTCCAAATACCTTCTCCTGTGCTTTCCTGACCTGTGTCTCTCTCCTTAATGAACTTTGACCCTGTCTGATTTGGGACCCCTTACCGTGCTCCCAGTTTCTTGTGTCTGTGTATCATGCTCCTCATAGAAAAGAGTGGAATACTGGCTTTGCTTTATCTTTTGACTTCCTTTCTCGAAACCTTGGGCCAGGGGGTGGGTCCCCCTTGCCCCGAATCCCTTATGGAACCTGGAGGACAAAAATATAAAGAGTAAACAGCAGATAGCCAGATGATAAAGAAGATAAAATGAAGCACGAGTTGCAAAGTAATCAAGCCAGTTGAAGGCGTACACCTTGTTGACATTTCTTAACGCAAGTGATCAAAACCAAAAACTCTCCTGGCATTCTGCTTCATGCTCCCTCCGTAGTTGGATATAGAAGACATGTCTAAAATTGAGTGATCAAAGGCCAGAAACATATTTTGATGAGTCTTCCCATGGGATCAATTTTTCTCTGCCACAACAAGAATGGATTTAGTCTCGCTGTCATAGACTGTCTTGGTCCCACGTGGGAGCCCACCTGAGATAAAATGTGACTGCAGAAGGAATGCTCTCTGCTTTTAACTTGATAAGTCCCTTCAAGTTTGCTAATGTAATGAAAGGTCTGTGGCCACATTAACATGACTTAGGATTATTAGTTGAAACACAGTGAAAACATTTTTTAATTTGTTTTGATTTGATGTATATATTACTCACCAGGACAGAGGTATTTATGCAGTATGATTTAGTAGAGCTTGATTATAACAATCCCAGTTTTATGATATATTCTAAATATTTCTGTTTAGAAAGAATTTCAAGTTTTATGTTTGTATCTTCAATCCTTTTAAGAGCTGATAATGGCACTTCAAGGATTAGTAGTACTGTTCATAAACAAAAGCTCTACTCATGAGAGAGGATTTTGTAGAGCTAGAGATAGACAAGGAGCTCTGGTAGTGCAGTGCCTAGGGCACTTGACTGCTAACCAGAAGGATGACGGTTCAAACCCACCAGCCACTCCTCTGAAAGAAGATTGGGCAATCTACTTCCGTAGTGATACTGCTGGGAAACCCAAGGAGCGGTCACTATGAGTCGGGTCCAACTTGATGGCACATAACAACAACAACAGAGATAGACAAGGAGGTCTGGTGGTATAGTGGTTGAGGCATTTGGCTGCTAAGCAAAAGGTCGCTGGTTTGAACCCACCAGCTGCTGTGCAGAAGAAAGATAAGCAGTCTGCCTCTGTAAAGATTTACAGCTTTGGAAACCCAGTGGGGGTCGCTATGAGTCAGAATTGACTTGATGGTAGTGGGTTTTGGTTTTTTGGAGAGATAGCTATTTTAGGTGGAGATCTTTGTGGTGAGTTTCAGAGAGAAACTTGTTTTCAAGCAGGACATATTCAAAAATAATTAAATCTAAAAGCTTCTAAGGATTGTGGTTGAGTACCATTCCAAAGTCTGACAACAGGATAGTGCTGTGTCTCTGTATGACAGTGAAAATAGATTATAAATCCCCCGTGACTTTGTTGAACATTTTAAAAAAAAAATGAAGGTTTCATTTTATCAGACCTTTCTTTTGGGGTCGCCAATATTTGTGTACTCTAATTCCTGTTTGTAAGACCATTGAACACGTTTAAACTGGCATCTCCACAAAGGTTCTCATCCAGTGGTCAATCTTCCCTTTTTCTGTAAAACTTTTCTATGAGTGATTGCATGATTTTAGCCTTTTTACAAGGAGATAGTTTGTGCACAGATTTGAAGTACACATGAAAAAGATAACCTTAGTGAGGTAGGTGAAAATATTTATGTTTTTCACAAACAAAAGAGATTTGTTTCCTTTCTCTTATTTTACACCTGCTGAAATCCCAAAGAGCCACAGTGTTTGACCCTGTAGATTGGCCTTCCACTGCAACCCAAGACAAAAACTAAAGCCCTTACCTTGAAGTAAAAGCATGGGTGCTATTGTGAATTACAAGGAATAAGGTAGAGTCAGTCAAAAAATATTTATTTATGATTTTATAATTATGATTTGGGAGCTCTGGTAGCGTAGTGGCTAAGACACTTGCCTGCTAACCAGACGGCTGGCGGTTCAAACCCACCAGCCACTCCTCAGAAGGAAGGTTGGGCAATCCTACTTCCGTAGTGATACTGCCTCGGAAACCGAAGGAGGGGTCGCTGTGCGTCGGGTTTGATTCGACGGCACATAACAACAACAATTATGATACATGATGCCAGACACAGAAGAACAGAAAGAAAAATTAGGTAAGACTTATTTTCACAAAACTTAGAGTCCAATAAAGTAGAAGATCTGCATTAGGAATACAATGTAGAAAGTTATTAATTCTACTAAAAATTATAGATGAACTGTAATGGAAAGCTAACTTCTTAATTTGATGGAATAGCATAGGTAGTCCCTGGGTTGAACATCTGGCTTACATACAACTTCCAGTTAAGAACTAACCCCTGTAATGCCTATTATATTAAAAATTCAAGGTACATATAATGGTTCATAATAACTAATGGACGTTACTTTGGGACACATACCAAAACATTAATTATTGTATTATTATGTAAAAGATGTTTTAATGTATCTGAAAGTGTTTCTTTAATGCTTTTTATGCATAGAAAAGAATACTATATACTAAGACAAACATTTGACTTAACTGACTTTGATATGGACCATACCTAACTGTTCCGATTCATGTATAAATTTGACTTAAAGACAGACTTAGGAATGGAACTCATTCATAATCCAGGGACTGCCTGTATTGAGAAAGGAGGAAATAATGCAATTATGATGATAAAATTTTTTTTCTGTGTTACATGTTCTGTACCACCACCACCACCCCCCTTTCAACTTACTTCTTTCTGCATAGGTGTGCAGATGACTTATCTCCTTGTATTACTCTGAACTCTTCTAAGTTGTGCTTAAAATGAAAAGAAAAAAATTCAAACTAGCTTATACAATATAGGGGAGTTTTATTGACTTTTATAACTGAAAAGTCTGGAAGACTTTTTTTTTATCTCTCAGCTCTATTTTTCTATATGTTGACTTATAGAACTCAGGCGTTCTCCAGATGATGTAAAGATGGCAGATTTATAGCTTACCAACCTGGCAACACAAGCAGAAAAAGAGTTATTTTTGCTATAAATTTAGCTAAAGGCCTGGAGCTGATCTTCATGAGGCCTTGCTAGGGTCTTGTGCTCATTCTTACAGCTACTAGATGAGGTCAGCTTCTTCTGAACACATGGACTGAGAGTGGGGAGGATCCCCAAAGGAAACATGTGGTTGTCATGTGAAAGAAGAGGGAGGGTGTTTTGGAGACGGAAAATAGTAAGACCTCACTCTACCTTTTATATTCCTCTGGGCTTCATCCATCCATTAGAAAGGTGGTAAAGTGGTGGTAGGGTGGGGTCAGCTATCAAGTCTTGGCACCACTATATAAATTAAGGGTAATAGTTAAGCTCTGGTGGCATAGTGGATAAGGCACTTGACTGCTAACCAGAATGTCAGCAGTTCAAACCCATCAGCTGCTCTGTGGAAGGAAGACCAGGCAATCTACTTCCATAAAGATTTACAGCCTCATAAAGCCAATGGGGGTTGCTATGAGTCGGAAAGGACTCGATGGTGGTAAATTTGGTTTTTGTTTTAGTTAAGCTTATGCAGCGCTTGGATAAGGATTGTTGTTGATTCCAACACTAAAACATGGTTATCTGTATTTTTTTTTCCATTATTAAGCTCAACTAAAATATACATAGCAAAAAAGATAAAATACATATAACAACACCTAACCAATTCCTTGAAGCAATAAAGCCCTGCACCATGCTGAGAGGAGCCTAGACTGTCTGCCTAAGCACTACAGCTAATTAACCATTAGCTCTTAAACAGAAAACACCACAGAGGAACATGAAGCAACTGGTGGAGATGCCTCAGAATTGTCAAGAAATGTGTAGTCTTTCTTCTTCTAATTAATAAGGGTAACTTTTCTGACTTACATTGGCTTTTGTTAATATGATTCTGTAAGGAGTCTTACAGACTCTAAACTAAAGGTAGACTGAATGTTCTTTTTTTCTCTCCTTCCCTTCCACCTCCTTCCCCACTCTTTCTAAGGCCTCTTCCCTTACAGCAATTCAACATCCTTGTAAGCACAATATTCATATCCTTTGTCTCTTCCCACCCTTTTCAGGGTTGTATTTCTATGCTGTGGCCTTAAAATTTCAGAAAGGGGAGAAAGCCTTTCAGGGAGCTTTGTTCATCCTGTTGTGCCACTGAGTCCACTTGGCGCTTGAATGAGGAAATGTAATCAGAAGAGTGCAAATGCAGGTTCAGTCAGCTCCACTAAATACCTTTGAGGTATATATCTACTTCATATTGCACATTGGGCCTGACAGTTGGAATTTGTGTCTCTCTTCCATGTTGTCAAAAATCAGATAAACAGTAGAAGTTACATTAGACTTAAGCAAAGATAATTTAATTTTTGTCAGTTTTGAGCCTAGAAGCAGAGATAGATTGCTTAATATATATTAAAAGCCCACAACATAAAGCTAATCTGGTTCCTGTCCTAAGTCTAGGATACAGTCTTAAAATTAGTTGATATGTGGGTTGGGCAATCTACTTCCATAGTGATAGTGCCTTGGAAACCCAAGGAGGGGTCACTATGAGTTGAGTCTGACTCGACGGCACATAACAACAATGTGGCTAAGGAATTTCCAGCTCTGACCCTGAGTCAGAATTCTGAGCAAGTGCTTCTCTGTCCTCCCTATGGTAAATGAGAACTAGTCTGCCAGCTTAGAAATTCATAGGATTCTAATCATTCCCAATAGTTCTTGTTTTATTGTCTTTCAGGTGCCACTGCTAGTTGATGAGTTTGCTTTGGCTTCAGTAATTCTCTGTATTTAATCTGTTTTAAAGGTATAGCAAATAGAGGTGGCAACAGATAAATGCTGAATGCTTTTTAGGCGTTTTGGTTTGAGCTACCTCCAAGTCAGACCACCTTGTCCGGTTGGTTTGTAAGCATTTTGCCAAAAATGCCTTCAGTCTTGGAACAGGGATTGGAAAATCTTAACTGCTAAAGCCTGTTTAAATGCATTGTATTTGAGAGATGAGAAAAGAAACAACTGTGAGTGTATTACTGTTGTGTTCCCTGCCCTTCTGTGCCTAATTCCTGTCTGTACTATAGCCCCTCCCCCTAGGTCTGCATGGAGAATACTTTAAAGTGAAATGACAGACCAAGAGAATAACAACAACATCTCAAGTAACCCCTTTGCTGCTCTTTTTGGCTCCCTGGCTGATGCCAAGCAGTTTGCCGCAATCCAAAAAGAGCAGCTGAAGCAGCAATCTGGTAAGTGGAGGAGCCAATAGCAGTAGATGAGATGACCCAGAATGGGGTCTTCCCAAGTTAAGTATTCTTTGGGTCCTTAATTACAGTTGGAGTTTATGTTTAGGGCAGAAGTTATTGTTTGTTTAGGGCATGCGTTGATGTTTTTGTTTTGGGGTCCTTCCCCCTGCATAAAAAGAGATAGGTTAACAGGTGGTTCTGCAATAACAGATGCCAGTAGAGACTCCAAAGCTGTCAAGCTGTTTTTGTTTTGAATCACCTGGTAAAAGCTATTTAAATAATCTACTTTTTAACATAAAAAACTGAGTTTGGGGTTTTAGCTGTGGAAAGCAAATCACATGCAGCTATAGAAGGCAGATGTGTGAAAGGAGTAGTTATAAAAGTTTTTCACCGTGTAGACAGATACATGAGATTTGTTCCATTGTTTCAGAGACTCAAGCAAAATATTTCCATTTCATTGATTGGCCTCTTTTGTAGATTACTGCTGTTAGGACAGACTGCTAAGAAAATACGATCCTAGCCCTAATGTGGAAAAAAAAAAATTACACGTGAAAAATTTACTAGTCAGAAAAATGACTTTCCTAATCTGGGAGCAGATTTAAGATCAAGTCCAGCTTCCTATCAGAAGACATACAGACCAGAAGAATTGGGATATTTCTCAACTATATTAGTCTTATGAGGGTATTCACAATCTTTCAAATCAGAAATTGTTTCCCTGTTCTTCCCTCTGAAAAGAATCATAGTGTTTTACTTTGAGAAAAGGAGAAATGTTTTTACATTTTCCCCTTCTTTAGTGTATTTCAAAAAATGATCAGATGCATAGCTGAGTTGTGACACTGCTCTCTGATTAGGACTGAATTAAAAAGAGATAAGAGCAAGACAGATAAGTAGTAGACATGGTGATAGATGGAGCAAGTGATAGTAACTGCAATGCTGACTTTTTAACATGATTGAAAGAAGCAGCTATGGGTCTCTGTCTCTGAACTCTCGTCCAGATTTTTATGATACAGGCTCAGACTGTGAAACCTTGGGTCAGAAGATTGTAAGACAGAAATGAGAGTGAGGAATATGAAAACCAAAGGAATGGGAATGTATAATTTATGGGTATGTGGTAAAGGGAATTTTGGTAAACAGTTTCTTAGTCCCTGTCACTCTTGGCATTTGAAGGCGAACTTAGCAATATAAGAGCAGAGTGACAGAACATTCTTCCTTCTGGCTGTAAACAGATGTAAGGCTGGCTAGAGTTGAGAGCATTGCAGGCACCAAGCAGTGGGGACAAATCAGGTACATGCCCTTCTGTTACTATTTTGGCACCCTCCCATCTTAGTTTGTTTACCCTGGGTTTATCCTGCCACCAGGTCTAACCTGTTTTCCACCAGCAGTGAGTATTCTGCCAAAATCTGTGGCCTGCTAAATTGAGCTTCATTTGTGCTGAACTCACCACACTGAGGCAACTCTTACTCCTGAGAGTTTTGCCTAACTTAAAGAATAGCCATTCTGTCAATAGAAAAAAACACATGCAGTCTCATGTATGGCTTTTAGTGAGTAAAACTACTTTTATTCAGCATGGGTGCTGTTCTGGGAGGCATTTTTTTATGTTGCTTTATTAAAAAAAAAATTAAAAGGAATCTCTCTTATACTGTTGGTGGGCATGTATATTGGAGCAGTCTTTCTGGGAGTCATTTGGTAATATATGTTAACCTTTAAATGGTCATGCTCTTTGACCCAGCAATTCTGCTTCTAAGAATTTATTCTACCAACATACCCATACAGTTGCACCAAAAGAGTAGCATATTTAATGCAGTATTATTCAGAAAAGAGCCCTGGTAGCACAGTGGGTAAGTGCTTGGGCCCATAGGAGAAAGATGTGGTTGTCTGCTCCTGTAAAAATTACAGCCTAGGAAACCCTATGAGGCTGTTCTGCTCCAACCTGTTAGGGTAACTGTGAGTTAAAATTGACTTGACAGCAACCGGTTTGGTTTTTGGTTTAATTGTTGAAAGTCATTAAAAATTGGAAACAACCCACATGTTCATCAGTTGATAAGCAGCTAATAAATCACAGTGCATGCATATAGTACAGCTACTGAGAATGAGGAAGGCTTATACATGATCCAACAGGGAAAAGTGTTTATGCCAGTTGTTAAAAATTAAGCCAAATTGCGGTCAATGTCATGAGACAAAGCGTATGTGAGCTGCTGTATGGAGAGTGAATTTGCTCTGTAAATGATCCCATTTTTACAAAAAGCTAAAAACTGAAAATCATAGTAATAAGCATTCGCATAGGAATAGGAAAAACATCTGCAACACTTTGCTGAGTTAAGTATATCAGTAAAGAATTGGTTTATAGGAGACTTTCTACATTGTATTTTTTTGTGTAGTTTAGAATTATTACAACAAATACGTTCTCTTGAAATCAGGAAAAAGCCATATATTTAAAATTATTAAAGACATTTTGATCTGTTAGGTAATTCTGTGTTCACTAGGATTGTATAGAGAAGATAATAATGCTATTTTGGGGCAGGCTGGAGTACATTGTGATAGAAATAATAAAACTTGTGCTTTGTAAAGTATGTTAGAATTTATAGCCAGAGATTTCAGAATCTTGAACTGAAATTTGACTGCTTGAAGATGTTCACTAATGAGGTGATTAACTTGTTTTATATCCCAAATTATCCCCCTTTTGGTTACATTGATCATTTTTGGTTGTATCCTTATTTCTCTCATAACAGAGAAGGATATAATTTTTAATGCCTTGCATTTTCTGACAGATGAACCCCCAGCTAGCCCAGATGACTCAGATAATAGTGTGTCAGAAAGCCTGGATGAATTTGACTACTCTGTGGCTGAGATTAGCCGCTCATTCCGTTCACAGCAGGAAATATGTGAGCAACTCAACATCAATCACATGATCCAAAGGATCTTCCTCATTACTCTGGACAACAGTAAGTCAGTCTGTTTATTACTCTACCTCTCCTACTCAGACTAGGTACTGGCTCTCAGAAACCTATACTTTGATTTCCATTTTGATACTCACTGGCCATATAACTACTTGCCTTTTCTTTCTTCAAGGGGGAATGGGAAAGGTAGCCATCATTGAGCTGAACTAAACATTCAGTGGAAGTCCTTAGAGGTGTCATACAGTGTGTTCTCTGTGTGCCCTAACTTGTAGTTTAACCCCAAAGTTAGCACTATTGTCTCATCTCTGAGATTTGCTCTTTAAATGTCACCATGTTCTATGACTGGAAAAAAGGTTTAAATCTTTAGATACTACTTTTGTGTGTCAGGATAATTTTGGTATTACCTCAGAACTTGGAGTTCAAGAGAAATGTTGTCAGGATATGTTTTCTGAAAAAGACAGAAACATTAATCTACCAGAGTAAAAACCATTTGCCAGGTGACCCAAGCTTGAAAAGTGGGAATGGCATCCCCAGCCGTTGTGTATATTTGGAAGAAATGGCAGTAGACCTGGATGATCAAGACTGGCTTGATATGAACAACATCGAGCAGGTACCATTCTTATGTTCCTAACATGTGCCCTCAGCTAAAATTGGCCACGTAGCCAAACTCTATTCCCCTTTCTGTAATAGTGATCTTGTTTGCCTCTATCTCTTACACTGTGGTATTTGTCTTTTGGAATCTTCTCATCTACAGTAGCCACGAGTCCAAATCTACCTATTCTTTAAGACCAGATTAAAATGCCATCTTATTTACAAAGCCTTGCCAGGTAGAAGTTGTTGCTCCCTCCTCCAAGTTTGAGAGTAACCTATGTATCTCTGTGGTAACTGTCACTTTCTCTCATGTAGTGGATTTTTTATGTACCTATCTTATCTCCTCTACTAGACACATGTTCTTGAGAGCAAGCCTTATCTCTTTGTCATCTTTATATGTTCTAAAATCAAAACAGTCCTTATACCTTGTAGGCACTTGATTAACAATAGGAAAAAAAAATGGTAGGGCATCCTACTTTGGTGAGTAGCAACTGGGATCTTAAAAGCTTGTAAGCAGCCATCTAGATACAACAATGGGTCTGTCCTTGTCCAGAGCAAAGAAGCATGAGGAAAACCAAAGACACATGGAAATAATTAGTCCAAGTGACTGGTACACCTTGCAATCCTCAGTCTATACGACTGTGAGAGCAGAAAATCTAGAGGGTGCCTGGCTACCACTGTCAACCACTCAGAGGGGGATCTCTGTAGGAGATCCTGGATAGGGTGGGAGAACAATGTGGAACAAAATTCAAAATCACACACACACAAAGGGGGAGGGAACGAGGTTTGCTGGTCTAATAGACCCTGATGGAACTACTGAGACTGTGGCCCCTAACTGCCCTTCAGTTCTGGAATTGAACCCATTCCTGTGGCTTCCAGCCAAACAAAAGACAGGCATATGAGCTGAACATTTACATTAGGTAGAAACACTCCTTGGAGAGATCAGTCATGGGAGAATAGAAAAGCTATGTATGCACAGGGAGACAGCTCAGGTGGCAGATGTGCATGGAAGGGTAGGACACAGGGAAGAGATAACTATGGGGAGGAAGTGGGAGGGGAGCTGTTGCATTGTGGGAAATTGCGGTCAATGTCATGAGACAAAGTGTATGTGAGCTGCTGCATGGAGAGTGAATTTGCTCTGTAACCTTTCACCCAATCACAATAAAAATTAAAAAAAAAAAGTGGTAGGGAAGACATTTCACAACTTGCAAGTTAATTTTACACATTTAAATTTTATTTATATGTCTAGGTGAGATTAACAATCACATAATTTCACACATAAGTTTAATCACTGATTTTCAACGCCATTCAACAAATACTTTTTTAAAGCATACTGTATGGTAGGGGATATGCTAGACAGTTAAGGCTTGATTTAGGATAACTTTATGTCTATAGTTATTTTCTATTTTGTAGAGAGAAATATTTTCTGAAATAAGACACTGAGTCCTTTTTTACCGCTCCCTTCTATATCCAAGTCTACGATTCTGACGGTACTTCCTGTCTAGAGAAAATCTGTGTCAAAATTGCCTTTTACATTTTTTTGCTCTTAAGATCAACTTTGCAGTGGTTTAGTGTTTTGTTTGTTTTCCTTAATAGGCCCTCTTCTCTCGCTTACTACTGCAAGATCCAGGCAACCACTTGATTAACATGACTTCTTCTACAACGTTGAATCTCTCTGCTGATAGAGATGCAGGGGAGAGGCACATTTTTCGTTACCTTTATTCCTGCTTCCAAAGAGCCAAGGAGGAGGTAAATAAATAATCCCCCTTTGAGTACTATACTGTCCTATGACTTTAGCATGTAAGCCAAAGAGTTGTGTCAGTGTCTTATGGATTTTACATATATCTGGAACTGAATATCAGAAGCATTACTGGTTTGTTCTTCTAAAACTTTAGTCTCCCTGTTCTGTGGCTTGCGTTCTGTCTCAGATAGTGAGGCCACCCCTTTGTCCAGTTTACTTGTGCCTTCTATTCTCTTTTAGCAAAGCGTTTCTACTAAGGTATAAATAGCAGATCAGGCTAAGCATAATCACTTGTAGAATTGCAATTTTAACAGATAGTAATGCCTTAAGCCAGAGAACGAATCTCTTGAATTCTCAAATATCCACGAGAGCAGTATCTTTTGAGGATATAATATCTTTTGCACTCTGTTTGCTGTGTCCACCCTTGTTCTGAGTCATAGAGCTAGACTCGTTCCTCTCTTTTTTACTCTGTTTTCAGATAACCAAAGTGCCAGAGAATCTGCTACCTTTTGCAGTACAGTGCAGGAACCTCACTGTGTCTAATACCCGAACAGTTCTCCTCACCCCAGAGATCTATGTTGACCAAAACATCCATGAACAACTGGTAGATTTGCTGTTAGAAGCCATCCAAGGAGCCCGTGAGTACATAAGCAATATCTGTGTGCTTCAACATTTTGATTTCCCAAATGTAAAATTCTTCTAATTGCATTAGAAAGTCTTAGAGTCATTATAGTTCTAGTATAAATTAAGGAAGAGTGCTAACATCTTGGCCTTGAAGATTGAATACTAGTTAAAGCAGAATATTTCTGATTAGGCTATATTCAACTAATTGGTACTAGAAAATTGGAATTTCATATTAGAATTATCAAAAATATAAAAAAAGAGCCCATGTGTAAGGCATATTAAAAAAGTCCTTTGGTCTCCTTTGTCTCTTGTTGCCTTCTGTTAGATTTTGAAGATGTTACTGAATTTCTGGAAGAGGTCATTGAAGCCTTGACAATGGATGAAGAAGTTCGAACTTTTCCAGAAGTCATGATCCCTGTGTTTGATATTTTATTGGGCCGAGTAAAAGATCTAGAACTCTGTCAGATCCTACTGTATGCATATCTGGATATTCTTCTCTATTTCACTAGGCAAAAAGATATGGCAAAGGTAGGTCTAAAAGATAGCATTCAGTTGAGCTAGAGATTTAATACGTCATCTTTCTCTCCGCATCTTTAGTGGTATAGTGGTTAAAGCATTGGGCTGCTAACCAAAAGATCAGTGGTTCAAGCCTACCAGCCACTCCATCAGAGAAGGATGAGGCAGTCTGTTTCTGTAAAGATTTATAGCCTTGGAAACCCTATGAGGCAGTTATACTCTGTCCTGCAGGGTCGCTAAGAGTCAAAATCATACCAGTGGCAGTGGATTTGGTTTTTTGGGGAGGGGGTTGATTTTGTTTTTGTTTTGGCTTCTCTATCCTGGAGGTGCTTTTTTGGTATCTATACTAATGTAAAATTACCTATAGGATAAGAGAAAGTTCTACTAATTGTTGTATATGTTGTATAGACTTAACACTTTGAGGCCCTCTTACCCCATTATCTGTATTTCACTATATGGAAAATTAAATAGAACTTGTCTTCTACAGGTTTTTGTAGAATACATTCAGCCCAAGGACCCTAGCAATGGGCATATGTACCAGAAGACCTTGCTGGGAGTAATTCTGAGTATCTCCTGCTTGTTAAAGACTCCGGGTGTGGTAGAAAATCATGGCTATTTCCTGAATCCATCTCGTTCCAGTCCCCAGGAGATCAAAGTACAGGAGGCCAACATCCATCAGGTGGAACTGTTTACCAGGGTATCCTAGGTCCCAGATCTTAGATTAAGTAGAGTTTCTTCAGGAAGCAGATAACAGATAAGGCTACTTGAACCTTTTGGGGAAAGCAAATTGATCTGGTTGGCTTTCTACCATACTCATGTAAAGAAATTGCCCTCTTTTTAGCATGTCTCCTTTGTACTTAGAGCAGAGGATATAACCAGGCTTTGAGGATAAGCTGCTGCTCCTCTTTGCCGTATGGTGGAGCACTGCACTTCCTTTCGATCTTCATTTTTCTCATCAAGCTATTTCTTATAACTTTAGCTCCTAAAATCTTTTGGCTAAACTCTAATCTGGAAGCTCGATTTTTTTTTTTTTTTTTAAACTTTGTTTTTCCTTCCTTTTCTCTACCTATGTCCTCTCTATTAGCCTTCTTAGCATAAATTATAGGAGAGATCTGGCCAACATGAGGTTGAATTTGGGCTACTTTAAGCCTCTTGTTTTACCATTTAATCAACACAGCTCTGTAAAGCAAGGGTCGGCAAACTACAGTCATGACCAAATCTGACTTGCCATCTATTTTTATAAATAAAGTTTTATTGAACATAGCTCCACTCATTTGTATATGTGTTGTTTATGGCTTGATTTCATGCTATAGCAGTAGAGTTGAATAGTTGTTACAGAGACCACCTGATGGCCTGCAAAGCTGAAAATATTTATTACCTGACCATTTGCAGAAACAGTTTACTGGCCCCTGCTCTAAAGCTATATAACTATTTTTCATTTTGACAGCTTATTGAGAAATCTCATTAGAGGCCAGAAAGAGATATTTATTAAAAGTCAGAACTGGGGGATAAGGCACAGGAAGAGTGAGAGGAATGATTAGGATAAGCATGTTTTTTGGAAGCTGCCAATTGCTAAAGCTTGGGAGTAAAAAATACTAGGATTATGAAACTGGAATGTTCTGTGGTTGTGTTTTCTGGTTAAACAGTTCATGGCTCAGTTCCATGAAAAGATCTACCAGATGCTGAAGAACTTACTCCAGCTCTCTCCAGAAACCAAACACTGTATCTTGTCCTGGCTTGGAAACTGTTTGCATGCAAATGCAGGCCGCACCAAGATTTGGGCCAATCAGATGCCAGAAATCTTCTTGCAAATGTATGCCTCGGATGCCTTCTTTCTGAATCTGGGTGCTGCTCTTCTGAAGCTGTGCCAGCCATTTTGCAAACCCAGATCCTCTCGGCTCCTCACCTTTAATCCCACTTACTGTGTCCTGAAGGAGTTGAATGATGAAGAACGAAAAATAAAAAATGTACACATGAGAGGTAGGGAGGAACTGGACTTCTCAAAATTGTGTGTATGCATGTGCATGTGTTTGTGTGTGTGTGTGTAATATCCAAAGCATTCACTCATTTCCCTTTTTTATAAAGATGCCTCTTCGTCTCAAAGATGAGGCAGACAGAAGAGCTATTTTAAATTTTAAAAAGAGCAGACATTTTTTTTTTTTTTTTTAAAGGTAGTATCTTTTAGATGTTGTGCTTTAGTGAAACCTCTCTGGATTTGGCAGCTTGGGGTTTTCACTCATTCATTGTTTATAAAAATGAGTAAAACACAGCCCCTCTCCTTTTTAACTCAGAAGCTCCAGGAGAAGGCAGATACATTAACAGATAATCATAGTATGGTGTAGGGCTAAGGTGTGAGAGCACAGGCAAGGGGGTGAATAATCAATTCTACAAAAGTTAGAGGTTACAGAAGTCCGCAAACTGAGCCCTGAATCAGGAGTTGCATTTTACCAGGCAAAGAAGTGAAAGACTCTCTTTATGTAAGAGTATAACAGATATAAAGGGACAAAGGTATGGAAAAGCTTGATAAGGAATAGTTAGAAGCTCAATGGGGCTAAATCAAGGGGTATGTGGAGAAAGGGATGTGACAAGTCACAAGAAATCAGTCTGGTGAAGAATAAGATTGGGACCAGACTAGAGAACACTTAAACGATACAGAGAAGTATACAGAAGAAAATAAAAGTTACTTGTAGTCCCACCACTCAGAATGAATCACTCTTAATTTTGGTTGCAGTTTTTAAAACTTTATTTAAACTCTTCTAATTATAAAACTAATACAGCATCAAAAGCAAATAATCTCAAATATACAAATGATCCATCATCTGTCACTTGAAAAAATATACAATGCTAATCAAACTAAAAGGAGTTCTGGTGGCACCGTGGTGTAGTGCCTAAGGCATCTGACTGCTAACCAGAAAGCTGGTGGTTCAGACCCACCAGCCACTTCTCGGAAGGAAGGTTGGGCAATCTACTTGCATAGTGATACTGCCTCGGAAACCCAAGGAGGGGTCGCTATGAGTAGGGTCCGACTCAATGGCACATAACAACAACAACAACCAAACTAAAGAGATTTAACTTGATTTTTGTAGAGTAAGAAGCCAAAAGATGTTTTTAAACGAAAAGGTAATGTGATAAGATTTGTTTTTAAGAGCACATCATTGGTAGCAGTATGGAAGTTGAACTAGAGTAAAGGGAAACTGGAGACCAAGATAGATGTCTGTGGCACCTGTCCAGCCATTCACTGTTGCTTTTTCAAAAACTTCTTTGAGGTTTGGACAAAGAAACTTGCTTGATCCCAGCTGTGCAAGAGCCAGAGTTTCCCCAGAACTACAACCTTGTAACGGAGAACCTTGTGCTGACAGAGTACACCTTGTACTTGGGATTTCACAGGTAACTCCTCTGATGTCACTAGGAAAGAACTTTTGTTGTGTTGATAATTTGAAGGTGGAAAGTGATTCTTAATAATGTATCCTCAACTTTTCAGAAGGCTTACATTAGGATCCAGTAGAAAAAGGACATATGCATTTATTTGTGTTTGTATGAACCAGTCTTGTGCAGATAATAATGATTGGATTTGTTTCCAATTTTTGACCTGTTAACTTTTTAAAATTAAAGATACACTAGTGTTTTCCTCTAAATTTGTGAATTTTAAAATCACTATCTTTTTGTTGTCACCTTAGAAAGTAGAATTGCTTTTATTTTACATTTTACTTTCTGCTTTTGTCATTGAAAAAAAGACAAAGCTCAATTCTACAGGGTCGAGACATAATTGGCAAAACTAAGAAAATGTTTATAAGGAATTCAAATAAGAGCAATAGGATCACAAAAGATCTATGTACCTAAGGTAAAGATAATTCTAGATGGGTGAAGATCTGAGAATGGATGTGTGTGATCATTGTACTAGTGTGATGTAAAACTATCCTGTCACCTGGTTTCTTTACTTTTTACCTAATAGTTATTTTGCCTGATAACGGTCCAGACTACACCCTGCTCAACCAAGCTGCTGTTCTTTGGATAATACATTTCAACTGAAAACTACTAACTTACTTGTAACTAGCTTCAATTACTTTGAGTACTTGATGACATTTTGCTGGTCCTGTGCCTCCTGCCTCTGTCTTGTGAATAACTTTTGTGAGTGCCTCTGTGTCATAGCATTTGCAACTCCCTACATCCTGAAAGAGAAATATAAATAAATGAGGCTTTGTTGTTCTGGAATGGTCTGTACTAAACTGCCTTACATGAGCCTCCCTGACTCTATCTCTTCTGCTTTCTTGGAGGCAGGTTGCATGATCAGATGGTAAAAATCAACCAAAATCTGCATCGGCTGCAGGTTGCCTGGCGAGATGCTCAACAAAGTTCTAGCCCTGCTGCTGACAACCTTCGTGAGCAGTTTGAACGACTGATGACCATTTATCTTTCTACTAAGACTGCCATGACTGAGCCTCAGATGTTACAAAACTGCCTGAACTTGCAGGTGTCCATGGCTGTTCTTCTGGTCCAGCTGGCCATAGGCAATGAGGGCTCACAGCCAATAGAGCTAACTTTTCCTTTGCCAGATGGCTACAGCTCTTTGGCTTATGTGCCAGGTAAGCAGGCTCTCCCCTGGGAATTTCCTATTTATAGCCATCCAAGTTTAGCTAGGTCACTTTGGAAGTTTAATCCTGGAAATACTCTCCCCTAGTTATCATTCTACTGCTTTTTGCAGATATCTCAAACTTAAAAGATGGTATCTCCTGGTGAAAGTTTAGGGAAACTCGTAGCTTGTTCCTCAGCCTGCTGTCCCATTCCTCTGCCTACCAAAATAGCCCTTAGGGCGCTGAATGCACTTAGGACTTTCAGAGCTGTCAGTTTCTGCCATTAATACTGTTTGTTATTCAATTTATAAATTTTTCTGTCTAACTCTTCTTGTGCTTCTCTTTAGAAATAAAATCATTACCTGCTGGTTAACCCAGAAAAGAGAGATTGTATGTGTGTGGTTGGAGAGGGAGGGAGGGAGATATCAGGTATTGCTATGTAACAAATTACCCCAAAACAACAGATTAAAACAACTAGTAGTTATTCACAGTTTTTGTGGATCAGGAATCTAGGAGTAGCTTAGCTGGGTGGTTCTGACTCAGGATTTCTCATGATGTGACAGTTAAGCAGTGCTGTGGGCATCTGAAATTCTGAAAACTAGGGATGCTCAACTATGGCGTGTTTGTCATGCCTCAGTTTCTTGCTGGCTATTGTCAGCATCCTCTTCAGGCCATACGGGCTTCTCTGTACTACTGCTCACATAATGGCAGCTGGCTTCCCTCTAGAGCAAGTGCCCAAAATGGAATCTGCTAGCTTTTATAACCTAATCTCAGTAATGTCATACCATCGCTTCTGCTATATGCCTCAGGATTATCTTCTACCCTGGGACAGTGTAGGAGAGGACTACACAAGAGTGTGAATAGGAGGAGGCAAAGACCACTGGAGGGCCATCCTAGAGGCTGGCTTCCATAGTCAACTAATGTATTATCTTTATTAAAGACTCTTTATACCTCTGCAGGGTGGTTCAAACCACAACTAATCTTGAGAGTGGGGAAAAAAAAGTACTTTAAATTTAGTATATATTGCACTTGTATATTAATGATATTTTGTGTCATTACCATTCATATATTTACTTGGATGAAAATGAAAATTGACTGACAAAGAAGATTCTACATTTATTGACTTACTATTATTCCTAGTACCTATAAGACATTGGGGTTTTTTTAACCTTCATTCAGTAGAGTGTAAGGGAGGAGTTTAAATGTTGCTTAGTTCAGCTAGGTGAATGTTTGGCTAATGTCAGTGAACATTTTCTGTTTCAGAATTTTTTGCAGATAACCTGGGTGATTTTCTCATTTTTCTCCGCCGCTTTGCCGATGACATCTTGGAGACATCAGCAGATTCCCTGGAGCATGTCCTTCACTTTATCACCATTTTCACTGGAAGCATAGAAAGGTGAAGTGATGACAGCTTGGCTTTGTTACTGTTTAGAGCTGTAAAACATTCAGAAGACTTCTAAACCAAGAAATAAACAAACCTGAATCATAAGGTCATAACATAACCTTCAGAAGTTATGTTAACATTAATGAATCACCTGACCATCCTTATGAGCAGATAGAAATTCCATTCTTGAGAACATAATAAGCAAAGGACTTTGCCCATAGGGAACCTGAACCTGCATAAGGTACCTGATGGGAATTCCACTGCTAGTCCCTGGTTAAAATAGTTACCATAATGCCAGAAACCTTACCAGTTGCAGTCAGGTGCTAATGGTTTCCTAATAACTAAAACAACAAAGCTTGCTTTTGCTATTCTGAGTTAGATGGGCAGTAAATTTAGGTAAATATTCTTTCTCATCTCAAGTACTCTCACCATAGCTTCTAGTCTTCTTTCCCAAAAGAAGATACTCACTATGACCAGTAGAGTTGCTTTTCTGAATTTCTGGTGCCTAGGACAAAGGAAATGGAAACTGTAAATAAGTGAAGATTCATTGCACCAAGAAGAGAATGATCCAAAATCCTTTCAACCATGTCAGTGAGAATTAGATCAAAGCCAGTCCTTCACTGAGCTGAGCAGACCTAATGAGAAATCATCAGTCACCATGTACAGGTGTCCCAGGTTATGAATGTCTGACTTACATACAAACTGTAGTTACACAAACCAACCCCCTTAAAGCCTATTATATTAAAGTTTCAAGATACATAGACTGGTTGTAATACAAACAGGTGCAACTTAAAAAGGCACATTGAAACATTATTGATACTATATTATATGTTAAAGATGTTTTAGTGTATCTGAAAGTGTTCTTTAATATTTTTTTATGCATAGAAAGGTACATTGTATACTAAGACAAACATTTGACTAACTGACATTAGATATGATTTGTATCTGACTGTTTCTGGTTACATACAAATTCAACTTAAAGACAGATTTAGGAACGAAACTTGTTTATATTCCAGGAACTGCCTGTATGAACTAGGCAAACATGGTATGCATTGTGGGTAATAAAGAATAATATCTTATTACTTGCCCTCAGGGAGCTTGGAAAGGCAAGTTTAACCCAAATGTAACTGTCGAGAGAATAATAAGCAATAAATAATGCATTTTTATAGAGAAGGGTGCTCAGAATGGCTGAGCACCAAATGGAAACTTTAGTACTTACCTTGATACTCGGTAAGTTATCTTCTTGAAAGTTAAATGGTCTACCCTGCATTATTCCCTATATTTACAACTGCCAAAGTGGGTCCTTTTTTTCCTATAACAGTGGTGTAGGATGTTTTGGCTCCTTAGATAGAGAAGAACAGAGTTCATAAAACTGGGACTTAGGTCTTCTGCCTGCTCACCTTGCTTTCCACCCACTTTGTAGAATGAAGAATCCCCATCTAAGGGCCAAACTTGCTGAGGTGTTAGAAGCAGTGATGCCCCACTTGGATCAGACCCCAAATCCGTTGGTGTCCAGTGTATTCCACCGGAAACGTGTGTTCTGCAACTTTCCACATGCACCCCAACTTGCAGAAGCTCTGATTAAGGTCTTTGTGGACATTGAGTTTACAGGTAACAGCAGCCATAAAACCTGAGTTTGGCACTGAGAAACTGATACCACTGGAGTTGGAAGAAATATCATCAGCCATCATTTACTGAATAACTACTATGTATCAGGCTTAATGCTAAGTGCTTTTTTATATATATTTTATATATTAATCTCATTAATTTGGTAAGATAACAATAGAAAGGTTAACTTTATTATCCCCATTGTAATGTGAGGATACAGATGCTCAAAAGGGTTAAATTATTTGTCTGTGTCCCACAACTAATATAGAACCAAGATTGAAGCCCAAGTCTGTTTCACCTGAAGAAATCTATATACTCTTACTTTGTTACATTGTTTAATCAAATTCATACACACACACACATACATCAAGACCTGAGTTCTTACCTTTCTCTGCCTTAGAATTATTGAATAGTGGGTAATGAGACAGAGTGCTAATAGAGTCTCTTTTATCTTAACCAGACTTAATTGGTAACAATCTGATCGTTAGATTGTTAGGCAGCATTCCCTTCCACTCTTGGCCTTTTGAGATTTAATCCTGAGCCCCCATGTTTGAGTAAACAGCACCCCATCTCAGCCAGCTTGTTTAAGATACTATTTAAGACCTATTTGTAAAGGATCCTACTATCAATTGAAAGCTCTGGTAAGTAGTGCCTAAGGCACTGGACTGCTAACCAGAGGGTTGGTGGTACAAACCTACCAGCAACTCCTTGGAAGGAAGACGGGGCAATCTACTTCCATAGTGACACTGCCTCAGAAACCCAAGGAGGGGTCGCTATGAGTCAGGTCCGACTTGACAGCACATAACAACAACAACAACTATCAATTGAAAGAAGCCTTAGTGGTGCAGTGGTTTAGAGCAAGGCTGTTAACCAAAAGATCAGTGGTTTGAACCACCAGTCACTCCACTGAAGAAAGATGTGGCAGTCTGCTTCCATAAAGATTACAGTCTGGGAAACCCTGTGGAGCAATTCTACTGTGTCCTGTTCTGTCCTGTAGGGTCTCTATGAGTTGGAATCAACTGTAATGAGGTTTGGGTGTTTTTGTTGTTTTTTGTTTTTTAACTCTTCAGTGCTATCTATAACATTTAAAGAAATAAGTAACATTTTACAACTCTTTCCATATTTGAATTCTGTCTTTGTCACTTGCTCACTTCTGTGAGTCAAAGTGAAGATTGAGTTTGTTTTCTTTTCTCCTTTAATCATGAATAGCACCTGAAGAGCATGTTATCTTCATAAAACATGAGAAGTTATACAATAAGTCACTGTGTTATCTCATGGCCGATTATAAAGGTATTAAGATCTCTGTTTTTATATCTGAGGAAGCAGAAGTTGAAAAAGGTTAAGAGACTTACTTCGGTGGAATCAGAATGAAAACCTAGGTCTTCTGACTTCAAGTCCTATGCTCTTTCCTCTATTATATGATCCACCTTATAGATCTCTAGTACCTTTCATGTGTCAAAGGCAGCAGGAGCCTCAAATTTGTTTAGCTCCTGACCTGATTTCAGAGTAATTGAGTCAGTTAGACCAAAGGCAGGAGAGAAGGAAAAAGAGGGTTAACAGTGAGAGAAACAGTACATTGATTAAGGGTAGGGCGGGAGCTCTGATAGCATAGTGGCTAAGGCACTTGACTGCTGACCAGAAGGCTGGCGGTTCAAACCCACCAGCCACTCCTCAGAAGGAAGGTTGGGCAATCCTACTTCCGTAGTGATACTGCCTCCGAAACCCAAGGAGGGGTCGCTATGAGTCAGGGCTGACTCAACGGCACATAACAACAACAACAACAAGGGTAGGGCTGCACAGCCAATTATTGTAATTGACGACAATGAGCTGTATACCTATAAAAAGTTAAATTGGCAAAAGTTGTGTGATACATTTATAACAACGACAAAAAAAAAAAAAAAATATTAGCTGCTTATAGGCTGCTTATTTACAACCATAACCTCACGGGATTTGGTTTCTTGGTTTGGAGGTTTAGGGTCACGGTTCATGAGGCATCTCAGTCAACTGGCCTAATACCATGTTTAGTGCTTCTGTTCTTCCTCCTACTTCATTGAATAGTGCCTGGGTCTTAAAAGCTTGCAAGTACCATCCAAGGCATAACAGTTGGTCTCTGTTTGCCTGAAGCAACAAAGAAAGAGTTTCAAGAATAGAAGGAGGATATGGAATGTGTGGGTAATTGCCTCCATGAATAACTAACTGCCTTCTCTGCTATGAAACCAGAACGGAATGGTGTCCAGCTACCATTAACTGAAAATCAAAGATTCTATGGAAGAATCCTGATCAAAATGAAGAAAATATAGAACAGAATTTCAAATTCTCATGGCCTCTAAACTTCTGAAACTATTGCCCTAAGATAATCTTGAAACGTAAACCAAAAATATTCCCTGAAGGCTTCTTAAAATCAAATGATAGTTTAGCCTAACTAGTAAAGAATGTCTACTTTGAGCACTGTGCTCTTTTAAGAACTGTATGGATCAAATTGACAGCAGCAACTCAAAAGATTAGATAGGAACCTTAGTGACCAGTGAATTTATGTTAATGGAGGAAAAACAATTCAAAAAGGGAGGATGAGAATGGTTGTACAACTCAATGAATATAATTAGTGTTACTAAGTGGTAAACATAAAAAACATATGCTATGTATATTCTGAACAACAACAAAATAAAATTTTTAAAAATAAAAAGTAATATGGTCACACACACAAAGGAAAAGAGATACACAGTTGGTATTTGGACTACAAAGAATGTAGAAATGACTGTCTCATCTTGTGGCTACCACAGTGGCAATCTCAGAGGCCCCATTCAAAGTCTGGTGAATACTCTGCCTTTGGATATGGAAGCATTTATTTCCTGTGGCTTTTCTTTTGCAACTTAATCCTTGTACCTTACTGAATAAGGTATCCTTTATATATATCCAGATATAAAGTATCTCTCTCCTGTTCTGTCAGTAAAGAAAGGAGCAGACACTTGGTTACAACTCTTGACTTTTAGAAATTCCCAGTGCCTATTTTGCCAGTATTCTTTAAACAATCAAAATAAAATAAAATGCCTGCACATAGACATGAACTCTTACTCTTTGTCTAATACTACCACTTTTGCTGATTATTTTGTTCTTGCCTTACGATAGGAGACCCTCATCAATTTGAACAGAAGTTTAATTATCGCCGTCCCATGTATCCCATCCTAAGATATATGTGGGGAACAGAGACCTATCGGGAGAGCATAAAGGTAAGAGAGTTTTTGGTGAAATTAGTTTTTTTGAGTAAGCCCCAGTGAGTTGTAGTTTAGTACTAAAATGGTTTTCTCTTGGGGTGGGACTTACAGGATCTGGCTGACTATGCTTCTAAGAATTTAGAAGCCATGAATCCCCCACTTTTCCTCCGCTTTCTTAACCTGCTAATGAATGATGCCATCTTCCTTTTGGATGAAGCCATACAGGTAAAAACCAGATTGAGCCGCTTCCATAATAAATTATCATCAGTGCATGCTTTTTACCTTTTAACCCTAATAGAACAGTTTTTATGCCCCTAGTACCAGTAATGAACACCAAAAATTTGTGAGTAGTAATGTACTACCAAGCTTGCCATTACAGAGCTTCCTAGTTTATTGTTACGTTAGAGACCAAGATCAAGTGTCATTAAAGTCTCATGGACTGGGATGGACACTTTGGCAGAGAGTTGAAAAGATAGTATGCAGCAAAACATGCTTCATCATACAGTACATGGCAGGACTAGTTAATCAGGTCAGCACTGCAGAAAGAAGTCAGAATCAACACATCAGTAACAGTGGCTCACTAACCCTCTCTCCTAAAAGACTCTGATTTTGGTACCAAAAAACCAAACTCAGTGCCATTGAGTCAATTCCAACTCATAGCAACCCCCTTTGGGTTTCTGAGGCGGTAAATCTTTACAGAAGTAGATCGCCCAGTCTTCCTTCCACAGAGTGGCCCGTGTGTTTTTGAACGTCACCTTTCTGGTTAGCAGTCAGATGCCTTAGGCACTACACCACCAGAGCTCCTTGATTTTTGTACCTCTCAAAAAAGTTCATGTTTGGGTTATTTTTCCATGTAAAGATTGTCCCAAATTGTCTTTATTCTTAGTCTTTACACTGCCTATGGACTCCTTAGCTACATTGTGAAACATGGGTTTCACAAAGTATAAACTCAGCTCTTTGGATGTATCATTTCCTTAACCATCCCTTAAATTAAAACCTTTCCTTCCCATGATAAGAATAAGATAGCTAGAACAGTGATTCAAAGAGAGGCGAAGCAGCTAACTCATGTGAGTAGCCTATTCCACAGCCACAAGGTCTTCTTCTTGATTAGCAATCCTCAGAGTAACTTATACTTGGTGAGAAAGGTTTGATCTCCTGCTACCTTTCATAAGCTGTAATTTCAAATGAAAGATAGATGTTCTTACAGAGAACAAGCCCTGTTATAAATAGGCCCTTTTAAGCAAGAGCTGTGTGACACAAAGAATGAAGCAGATGGTGTTTTCTCTTTTTTTTTAATGCATTTTATTGAAATATAATTTATATACAGTGAAATACACAAAACTAAAGTGATATGGGTAGATGCTTTTTTTTTTTTTTTTTTGCAGTGTTCCCTCCCCACCCCTGGCAACCAACAAAGAAAGTTTCCCTCCATATATAAACCTTTCCTTGACCCTCCACAACAACAAACTAATACTGTATTTGTCCTTCTGTAATTGACTTATTTCACTCAGCATAATGTCCTCTAAGTTCATCCATGCTATGCAGTGTTTTGCAGACTATATACTATTCTTTAGTGCTGTATAGCATTCCATCGTATGTATGTACCATAGTTTGGTCATCCACTCTTCCATTGATGGGCACGTAGCTTGTTTCCATCTTTTTGTTGTTGTAAATAGTGCTGTGATGAACATGGGTGTGCATATATCTGTCCTGTCCTGGCTCTCACCTCTCTCGGATATATACCTAGTAATGGGATTGCTGGGTCAAATGGTATCTCCAATTCCAGCTTTCTAAGGAATCACCATACTGCTTTCCACAGTGGTTGTATCACTTCACAGTCCCACCAGCACTGTGTGAGAGTCCCAATCTCTCCACATTCCCACCAGCGTTTGTTATTTTCTGTCTCATTGAACCTTGCCATCAGTGCTGGGGTGAGATGGTATCTCGTTGTTTTGATTTGTATCTCTCTGATGGCCAGTGATCGTGAGCATCTCTTCATGTATTTGCTGGCCTCCTGAATATCCCCCTTGGTGAAGTGTCTTCATGTGTTCTGCCCATTTTTCAATTAGATTGTTAATTCTTTAGCTGTTGAGGTGTTGGAGTTTTCTATAAATCTTAGAGATAAGTCCCTTGCCAGAATGTAATTATCGACAAGTATAAATTTGTTGCTGTCATTTTTGTTATGTGCTTTTTCATGGCGTTGATTTCTTTGTTCCATATAATTTTCTGTGCTGAGCTTGTTTTGTTTATGAATTGTGTTATCACTTCCTTCATTGCTATTGTTTTAGTATTTGCTAAATATTTGTGCTGGTCCTCTTTTTTATTTTGATGTGAAGGTTTATCATTTTTATTTGAGGTTACCCTATGATTTATAGTTTTCTTCCCAAGTTCAGAACAGTCCATTCTATCTTATAGTTGTCTTGACTTCTCTACCATCTAGAAGTTCTGTAACTATAGTTTTTTCCCTCTTTTTGGTTTGTAGTTGTCCTCATTAGTCAATTGATGTCTCTGGTTCCCTGTTTACAGTCTTACTTTGGATACTTCCATAGGTGGGTTGCTTTCTGGGTTATGTCACCATGTGTGTTAATGGTCAGTTGTTGTTTGCTGTTGTTGCTTCTCTGTCCAAAGGGCTCCCTTTAACACCTCTTGTAAGGTTGGTCTGGTTTTAACAAATTCTTTTTATTTCTGCCTATCTGCACATGTCCTAATTTCACCGTCATATTTAAGGGGCAGTTTGGCTGGGGACATAATTCTTGGTTGGAAATTTTTCTCTTTCAAGGTTTATATATACCATCCTACTGTCTTCTCGGCTGCATGATTTCTGCCGAGAAAGCTGAGTTTAGTCTTATTGGTTGCCCTTTGTAGGTAACTTTTCATTTTTCCCCTGCTGCTTTCAGGATTCTTTGTCTTTGGTTTTGGTGAGTTTGATGCAGATGGTGTTTTCATGGGACTATAAATTTAACATGTTGTTTGCTACAGCAGCAAGAATGCTGAGAGGTGGAGGGTTTTTAAATAATTATGTTCTCCTTCTAGACTTCTTATACATTTGATAGAATTTTGATTTTTGATAAGCAGTTGTTTTTTTTTTTTCCAATCTTTCAAGAAGGGATTCATTCTTTTTCACTGTATCCTATTTGTTTTGCCTGGATTTTATGTTTTATATTGTTTCTCCTTCTTTCTTTCTATTTCACATTCTATACTATTTCTATGAGAATTACCTATGACTCCACCCAGGCTGAAATAAATCTCTATGAAGCCACAATTTCTTTTTAAGTTTCATTCAGCCCTTTGTTGAGAAATAAAGGCTCATGCCTCTTATGTGGACTCTGGTTTTCCCAGTTTAATTGACTGGACTTTAAGTAGATCTTCTTAAATGCCATCTTCCTTCAACTGCGCTTTGTTTTCTGACATATCCCAACTCTGGTTTCTGTAGTATTTGAGCAAGATAAAGATTCAACAGATTGAGAAGGACCGAGGTGAATGGGATAGCCTGACGCCTGAAGCTCGCCGAGAGAAGGAAGCTGGCTTACAGATGTTTGGACAGCTGGCACGTTTCCATAACATCATGTCCAATGAAACAATCGGTACACTTGCCTTTCTGACATCAGGTAAGGACATGAAGCACTGCTTTCCCAAGAAATGTAATGGTCAAGAATTACTTCACTTGAGGGATGATCCCACCTGAAATTAACACATGACAACCAGAGATCACCAGATGTTTGAGGAAATCCTCCAACATGAAACACAGATAATGGATGACAACCTTTTTAAAATATTTTTTAAAAAACTTAATGTTTTCTCTTCCCTGTATTTTTGGCTGATTTATATATTATATATTAATAAAGAGAACATTGTAGCACCCACAAGACTAAAACAGAGATAATAAAAAGGATTTTCAGAGAACAAGATAGAGCTCTGGGACATTGAAAATACAACTTTTGGAATTAAAGAAAAAATTCAGTAGAGGGGTTAGAAGATAAATTCAGTGAAGCCTTCTATGAATGCAGAACAGAAAGAACAAGAAATGAAAATTAAAAGAGGGAGGATAAGAAAATAGAGCATCAGTCTGGGAAGTCTCAAAAGGAGAAAAATGGCAAGGAGGAAATTACCAAAGAAATAATACAAAAAATTCCCAAAGACTGAAAGATAGCCTTAAAATTGAAAGGTCCCATCAAGGGTCCAGCACAATGAAGTTAAAAAAAAAACACCAAAGTATTGCAAAATTTCAGAAAATCTGGGTAAAGAAACTATCTTAAAAGCTCCCAGAAAAAAATTAGATTATGTACAGTGGTTTAAGTACCAGGATGATTTTGAACTTCTCAGTAGTGACATTTGAAACTGGAAAACAGTGCAACATGCCTTCAGATTCCAGATGGAAAATCTTTTTGGTCTAGAATCCTCTAGCCAGCCAAAATGTCGATTCCATTTGAGGGTAAAATAAAGACATTTTCAGACATGATAGTATCAGATTTACTTCCAATGTACCCTTTCTTGAGAACCTACAAAAGTATATACTCCATCAGAATGAAGGAGTAAACCAAGAAGGAGATAGGTGAGATCCAACACATGAGAGATGCAAAGGAAATTCCTGAGATGATGGTAGGAGGAGCTTGTAATGACCACTATTTAGCAAGCCTGTAGAGCAAGCCAGCTAGATAGGAGCTCTGGTGGTGTAGTGCCTAAGGCATCTGACTGCTAACCAGAAGGCTGGTGGTTCAAACTCACCAGCCACTCCTCAGAAAGAAGATTGGACAAATCTACTTCCATAGAGATACGGCCTCGGAAACCCAAGGAGGAGTCGCCATGAGTTGGAATCGACTCGATGGCAGTGAGTTTGGTTTGGGAGCTCTGGTGGCATAGTGCCTAAGGCATCTGACTGCTGACCAGAAGGCTGGCAGTTCAAACCCATCAGCCATTCCTCGGAAGGAAGGTTGGGCAATCTACTTCCATGTGATAGCACCTCGGAAACTAAGGAGGGGTCGCTCTGAGTTGGCCAACTTGACGGCAGTGAGTTTGGTTTTTTTGGTTTGGTAGAGCAAGCCATCTAGATTGGAGTGAAGGATGGAAGCTTCCAGGAAAAACATGTCAAAAAAAAAATACAGAACTGCTAGAATTTATCATATTTAGAGTTTTATAGTTGTAGTGGAGAGTTTGGGAAGGATTTAGTGATAGGTATTTTGAAAATAAGCAAATGAAAAAACAAAAAGTTGTACCGAAAAAACAACTATGTAACCATTAGAAGACTATGTGGCTCTGCTTTAAATGACTATGTGAATGACTATGTGCCTCTGCTTTTACATAGTCTTCATGATATAAACTCTAAATTAGTTAGCTAAAAATTTGATTATATACTGGGAGATTATACATTTGGGAGAGGGGATGGAAAGTAAGTGCTAAATTATAGTTCAATAGAACTAGCGATGTTAAGCAAGCCTGAGTATTTTTCAAGCAAAGCTTAGTTGACTTTTCTGTCCTGGAAGAAGTGTAGCTGGAATGCTTCTTGGAAGCAAGAATGACAACTTTGTCTTATCTACTTTGGTCATGCTGTCAGAAAGGACCTGACAGAAGGATATCATGCCTGGAGAAGGATATCATGCTTAGCAAAGTGGAGGGTCAGTGAAAAAGAGGAAGACCCTCAACAAGATGGATTGGCACAGTGTCTACAACGATGGGCTCAAGTATAGCAAGGATTGTAAGGATGGCACACAACTGGGCAGTATCTTGTTCTATTGTACATAGGGTTGTTATGAGTCAGAGCCAATTCAGCAACACCTAACAACAACAAACAGTTGACTTTTTAAACTTGGCATGTTAATTTATTTTTTAAATTTTTAAGTTCAGACTCTTTGACCTAGCAATTCTTAAGAATTTGTCGTAAGGAAGTAATCAAGCAAGTACACAAAGATGTGTATACACAATGAAGTTCATCAGTAAGTAAAATGGCTATAATTTTAAAATGGCAAAAATTTTAAAACAACCAAAATATCCACCAGTCGAATAAAATAAATAACTGATGTTTCAACCATAAACTGGAAAACCATGTGGATTTCAAGAATGGTATAAATCAGTGTTACCCTATAGTTTTCTATGTATCTATATATATACAGATATTCCTGTATCTATATATCCTGTATGAACTCTCCAGTACTATAGATAGTAGCTATTGAACACTTGAAATGTGGCTAGTGAAACTGAAGAAATAAATTGTTTAGTTTTGTCTCATTTAGTTTAATTTAAACTTAAATAGCTACACATGTCTAATGGCTATTGTGTTGAGCCACACATATTTACTAAAATGGTTTTCATGATACAGTTAATGAAAAAGGTAGTGATAGAACATGTACAATGTGATAACCATTTCTGTTTTGAAAATGTATGTATGAGTATGGACGGAAAAGCTAGAAGGATATGTAACAAAATGTTAACAATGTTTATCTATGGGTAACAGGTCTGATTTTCCTTTAATGTTATTAGGTAGGGGTGCATGTTTATATTTTCTAATATTACTGTGGTAAATTGTATTATTTATGTAATTAAAAAAAAAATTAGTCCCAGAAATCTCCAAATAAAACTTTAAGGCACAATAAATAAAAAATTGCTAATAGATTGAGCTTTCAGAGACTTTGGTTTATTTTTTTCTCTCCAGAGATCAAGTCACTCTTTGTGCACCCCTTCCTGGCTGAGCGCATCATCTCCATGCTGAACTACTTCCTACAGCACCTGGTTGGCCCCAAGATGGGGGCCTTAAAAGTCAAGGACTTCAGTGAATTTGACTTCAAACCCCAGCAACTTGTTTCAGATATATGCACAATCTACTTAAATCTTGGGTACCTGCGATTGGAATTGGTCAACCCAGAGGAGCAATTAATGTTTAAATTTGAGGGTCTGATAATGAAATGAGTAGTTGGTAATTTTGTAGAAATAGGAACAAAAAAAGTTCATTTCTAGTTTGTTGATGAAGGAATCTTTAGTTTTAAAATAATGAAGTTTTGTTTGACTTGGGTTAGACACTGTGTACAATTCCAAACATTTTGACTTGGTCTGTCCAGAGATAACTTTACTAGTTGTGCCACTGCTTGGAAAAGTAATATTCTTTTAAGGCCACAGAATTTTTGGTAGGCTTCCTTCCTCAAAGGAAACAAAGAACATTCATGGCTTATATGTAATGAAAAACCTTGAAATGCAATCCATTTGCTGTCTTCCCCATTGTAACTTATCCTCTGATACAGTTTCTTTCTGATGCTGACCTTCCAGGGATGAGGAGAATTTCTGTGCCACTGTGCCCAAAGATGGACGGTCCTATTCCCCAACTCTCTTTGCACAGACGGTCCGAGTCCTGAAGAAGATAAATAAGCCTGGAAATATGATCGTGGCTTTCAGCAATTTGGCAGAGAAAATTAAGGTGAGGAAAAAGAAAATATCTTTGCTTACATGTTAAATAAAAATCACACTGTCAACTCACTATGCTGCTTTTTTTTTTTAACTCCTATTTGGGGAGGGTCAGGGTGGGAAAGCATTGCTCTGACAAACTATAAACAGATGATTCTTCCTGGTCAATCGGTAATCAGAAGTACCGTATTCTTATTAATATTACTGGATTTGACATGAGGATGAAAAAAAAAATTGATTGAAGAGGCTACTACTAGAAGAGAACAATGTACAAATTTTACATAGGCTGTTCTTATGGAAACTTCTGCATAGTTTTACCAATAGATTTAAAAACCTATTTCAAATTTCTGTTTCTTCAGAAAAACTTTTTATAATAGAATTTAAGATTGGTAGTTTTCAGTTGTTGATTTTTACTGATTTTCTCTATATTTGTGGTTAACTTACTGGAATATGCATACATTTTAAAGATTGAAATACTGTATTCTGTTCAGCTAATCCTTTTGATTAGAATATGGCAGAGCTCCATTAGCAGTTATGGAGAAGGAAAAATCATGGCATCAAAGTCTAATAGAAAAGTTCCTTTTTCATTCAGTCGTTCCTTTATTGAAATTATTGAGTTGGGCTTCCTTTTTACCTAGAACTTAGCCACATGGATCCCTGAGAAACTACAGTTGCAAAAGAATCAAATGTTGAAGGCACTTTCAGATTCCTCTACCTATTTGGTGCCTAATTATGTGTGACAATTGACATTCGTATTCCCGTATTTTAAGTGTGGCTGCTGCTGAGATTTAGGTATCTAAAACCAGAAACTACTTTTCATATCCAGGTTACATTAGTGACTCTGTAATTACGCAAATAATAACCCTCCCACCCCTTTTGAATTAAGGGATTTACCACAGGATCATGGCCAGAAGGATGTGGCAACAGTCCACAGAAGGATGTTGTATGGTGGTGCATTTTTTTCCCTGCTAACACTTAAACACTTTTCCAGTCATGACTGCAAGCAGCTGAGCCAAACTGTAGTTGCAGAGTTGGGGCTTAGTGCTAAAGTTGTTCTTTTAATATCTATTTTGACTTATTTTTTGAGAAAGTAAAGCTGAAATTTTTCATTGTCACTGGTAATTGACAACAGATGTTAAGGCATAATCAATCATTGAGTTTTCTGACTTCATTTGCACTGCACATTCATTGGGCAATCTACTTCTGTAGAGATACCACCTCTGTCACTATGAGTCAGAATCGACTAGACAGCAGTGAGTTTGGTTTTTTTAAAAAAAAAATTTAACCAAGTATTTTATGCTTAGTCTCTTGCAGACCTCCAACAACAGGAAGAGGAGACATATGCAGATGCCTGTGATGAATTCCTTGATCCCATCATGAGCACACTGATGTCTGACCCTGTGGTGCTGCCATCTTCCAGAGTCACAGTGGATAGGTCCACCATTGCCAGACATTTGCTCAGGTATGCCAATCCTAATAAACAGCCTGAAGAACACAAATGTGTATCTGTTTGCTATAATCTCTTTCCCACAGATTACCTAATATAGTTTTATGAACCCAGTAGATGCTCCATATAGTTGATTTACTAATATATTGGGATAGAGATAAATCACTTGACTGTTAAGGATTTAAACAACCAAAACAAGATGTCCTATTGAGGAATACTAGCTCTAACCTTACCTTTACCTTCCTTAAGAAAATAATTAAAATAATTTCTATCAACTATGTTATAAAATACATCTACTTGGGATTGATCTAAATTGTTTCAATTTTTCTTTTAATGGTAAAAATATAAAAGACAAAGTTTGGGAGTGTTTTGGTTTGTTTTTTAATTCAGGTTTTACACTATACTCATCACATAGGTCAACTTACACCTTGCTGCTATGGCTGTACTTGGTGGTGACATGAATTTTCCATAGCCTGTCAGCTTTTTGAGCAATCCATGCCCATGCCTACAGAAAAGACAAGATTGGAAGTAATAAATGATAGCTTATTAACATTAAATGTTAAGGCCTCTCAATATTTTTAAGTGCAGTAAAAACCAAAAAACCAAACTCAACTGCCATTAAGTCAGATCCAACTCATCGCAACCCCTCCTTGGGTTTCCAAGGCAGTATCACCACAGAAGTAGATTGCCCGGTCTTCCTTCTGAGGAGTGGCTGATGGGTTTGGGCCGCCAGCCTTCTGGTTAGCAGTCAGATGCCTTAGGCAGTGAGTACTGAGAGAATCTGCTTATTTAAAATTTAAGTTATGTGAGTTGAAAAGAACTTTGTATTTCATGATATTTTATATTAAACATTCAGTATATGCATGATGCTGTGCTATGTCTTTTCATTTTTTTAATAGATTTTATTGAAATATAATTTATGTACAGTGAAATACACAAAACTAAAGTGACATGGGTTGATGTTTTTTTTTCTAGTAGTGTTCCCTCCCCTCCCTTCCTATCCCTGGTAACCAACAAAGAAAGTTTCTTTCCATATATAAACCTTTCCTTGACTTTTTACAATAATGATCTAATACTATATTTGTCCTTCTGTGATTGACTTTTTTCACTCAGCATAATGTCCTCCAAGTTCATCTATGTTATGCGGTGTTTTGCAGATTCTACATTATTCTTTAGTGTTGTGTAGTATTCCATTGTGTGTATGTACCATAGTTTGGTTATCCATTCTTCTGTTGATGGGCACATAGGTTGTTTCCATCTTTTTGCTATTGTAAATAGTGCTGCATGAAAATTTATATTTTATAGTGGCTTCAGAATATAGAGAAATTATACAGAAGCCCTAAAGTATATTATTAACCTTCTTCCAAAAAAGAACCTGAACCTATTGCTATTGAGTTGATTCTGACTCATGGCAACCCTATAGAACAGGACAGAACTGCCCCATAGAGTGTCCAAGGCTGTAATCTTTATGGAAGCAGACTGCTACATCTTCTGTGAAGCAGCTGGTAGGCTCAAACTGCTGGCTTTGGTTAACAGTTGAGCACTTAACTGCACTACCAGGACTCCTTCCAGTGAACCTTCTTACCCATCAGGAAACCATAAATCTGCACTTACTTATATAGTATAGCAATTGGCTAACTAAAGTGTCAATTTATAAGACTTAATGCTTTTTATCTTTAATTACATTCATTATAATTCAAATTATCTTATATTGTTTCAAGAATCTGTTACTTTCAAAACCACAAACCACTTTCTACACTGACATGAGTATACACGGATCTCTGTCCCTTAGGGGAGTCTAAAGATGGGTGGCAGAAGGATAGCATTTTTTTAAGCCACTGGAATCAAGTATCTGAACAGCAGTATTCATACAAAGTTTGCTAAGAGGCAGAGAGACAAACTACTAAGTAATCTGTGCTTGAAAAGAAAAGAAAAGAAACCTCTTGAATCAATCTGTTTGATTCTTCCAAACCCAAGTTAACATTCAGCTCAGTTACAGTGCAATAGTTCCAGCTTCAGTCAAAGCGAGATGTCTGGGTATTCTGCTTTTGGCTTATGCTGTTGGAAGTTAAGGGAATAACCCTATTTCCCTTTCTCTCTCTGTCCCAGTGACCAAACAGATCCCTTTAACCGTAGTCCCCTCACCATGGACCAGATCCGGCCAAACACAGAACTAAAGGAAAAAATCCAACGATGGCTTGCAGAGAGGAAACAACAAAAGGAGCAACTTGAATAAATACTGTGAACTAAACAAACCAAAAATCAACCCCAGAGTGTAGATAAACAATTGTTTGTGGTTTCTCTCTTTCTAGTTCTGTTGCTTTTTTTTTTTTTTCTCTCTACTAAATTAAAGAACTCCTCTTGCTCAGATTATGATAATTAAGATTCCTAAGAATTTTACCATGCTCCCCTGACTTGCAGAAAATTACATTTATTATAGCATCACCACATTTAGAAATCATCACTAATTTTCACCCTTTGTTCCCCCTTCCTATTCTTTCTTCTTCCCTTTTCCTACCATAAATTAATGTATATTTAATTCAGCTCTTACAGCTTTGCACCACCTCACTATTTCTCTTCCAAGCACTGCTCAAACGTTTTTGGTCAGCACTGCTTTTTTAAGAGTGATGTTACATGGTTCAGTGACAGCTGATATCGTCAGAAAGACCTGTGTTATCAAGGCATGTATTAGTCTTCATGAATTGGGCTTCATCCCTTTTCCTTGTTACAGTTCTGTAATGTTATAAAATAACTTTCACACGAAAGCAGATACCTTGATTTTTGTATAGGTTTTTGGATGACAGACAAGATGAAAAAAAGGAATCTTTTGCAGTTTCTTTTAATAGCTCTTAATTTTGTGTTATCTTGTAATTGAAAGATACTATCTCAGACAAACACTCCCCTTTGGAGCTGTCACTATTAAAAACTTAACCCTACAATGTTCTTAAGAGGATTGGTAGGGCAAACTTGAAGTTTGACACTTTATTCAAGAAATGCTAGGGTGAGGGAATAAATTAGGAGGCTTTTGGACCCTTTTTCTCCTATAAAGATCTTTGCTGCAAGGACTAGGCCTAAGTAAAAGAGTTAGGCAATACATATTGTAACCGTGAAGAATGTCATTTTAAGACACTAATAACGTATCTCAGTACATATGTAATGCATATATACCACGTGCTTTTCTTATATTGGTCTAGTGTAAACTGAGAACCACTGCATAGTGTCTCTTACATGATAGATGTATACGGTGTGTGGCTATGTTTACTAATGCACATTCTAGAAAAATAAAATTCTGAGACTGTAAAATGTATATAGTTAATCATTTGTTTTGGCTTGTGACCTGACTCCTAAGAGCTGCTTCTAACTCAGGTCATCAGTTAACAGAATAGGAATTGGCACAACCTTGTTTACAAGCCATTTTAAATATCCATCTAGCCCTTTGTAGTTAGTAAGTGGATGAACACATACACACACACACCCTTGTATGAGTTGAGCTTGAGCTCCCTGCTCAATTAAGCTTAACATGCTAAGTAAGGCCTATTTCCCTATGGACTGTTTTTATGTCACTATTCCTCTGTGCCTAAAGATGTTAGAGATGGGAAAAGTTATATGATCTGGAAACAGAAGTCACATAGAGGATGTTATTAACCATGACCTCTTTCATAGAAGATGATAGTTTTATGATATTCCAACATAAGTTGCTATAAGCAGTCCTTGATGTGTGTTGATGGTATCAGCTATAAAACCTCCAATCAGAGCAGGCATCCTACACTAGGTATAAAGTAGGTAGATACAGACCGTTGCCATGCTCATTAATTAAAAGGAAAGTCTAGAACCTTTTTACCAATCCCAGAACATAAGATACTAATTCATTGTGCTCCCTGGGGCCTTTAATGCATAGGTTAACAGGGTTTATTTTCTTAAAATGTGCTTCATTTCATATTTACTCTCTTCCTTTCCCTCTCTGAGAATGAACTGTGTATAAAATAAGCTATCTATTTGCATTTATCTTCCAAACTCAATTTAATAGGATGTTTTAATTTGAAAAAAGAAGGGGAGAAAAGAGACCATACTTTTGCAGGAGGGAAAAATGGGCACAAAACCTCAGAAGGCAGCTGCTCTCAGCAGCTTTCTAGTTAACAACCTCTGTGCTGCCTCCAGTATGTGTCTACATTGTACTTCTGTGTTTAGTCTTTAGATTGTAAGCCTTTTCTGGCAAGCTTTTTTTCTTTTTTTAAGCTCTTTTTCTGGATAGCTAAGTCATCATTAATGCTGCTAAACATCTTTAAATTCATCACAAAGGCAAGTGTGTAGCTTAAGGCCACTATTGGTAAGGAAACCAAGTGTCCTCTGTGCCTTTTTTCTTTCTAGCTGTGAAGGACATCCAAAAAAAATGAGACTATTAAACCTTATCATTTTGGTATAATATGGTGCATATATGCACTTGGAAGCTTAAAGAGATCTTTTATTGTCTGGAATTCAGAAGCAGCTCTAAAAGTACTGGATTGGGCTTTCTAACGTGCCTAGTGTTAGCATTAGTTTTGCTGGAAGAAAATAAAGACTAATCAGCTCTAGTATTGCTCATAATTTACCAAGAGGGTAATATTAAACTTGGATAATTATTTAAGTAGGTTTTATCAAACAGTCTGAGGGTTTTTTTGTTTGTTTGTTTGTTTTGTTTTTTTTACATAACTAATATGTGAAAACTGAAGGAAAAGGATTTTTAATGGTACAAGTAAAGGTGCCATTTGCTGTTTGGTATCACACTCTGCAAAAGCTTACTGTATTTGATGCTGGTTGCTAAGCAGCCACTGTACAAAGCAAAAGTCTACTGGGTGCCTTTACAAGCTAGAGGCTGATACTGCACTGTTGATGCCCTGTGAGGAAATAACACACATGCTCTAACTGCTCAACAGGAAAGGAACCCAGAAACAATGAAGAACAAAGCAACAAAAAGGTTGATTGAAATAAAACTTGATCAACATAACTGTATTTTGAAACATTCCAGGAAGGTTACTTCTTGTCAAACTTGCCTGGAGGTGTTTATTCAAAACTTGTATTTAATAAATGAACACCTAACTTAACAGCCTTTGTTATCACTTCCTTTATTATAGCATTAAAAACTCAAGGCAGTTTCAGATACCCTTCTGAAAACTTAAGGGAACTGTGCCCTTTTTTTTTTTTTTTTTTAGGTACAGGTAGTCCCCACATTGCTAACATCCGACTTACAGTACAATCCATAGTTAGGAACCAACCCCCATAAAGCCTATTATATTAAAAATCTGAGGTCCATACAGTGGTTCTTAATAACAAGCAGGCAATACTTTGTGATTTGCATCAAACATTATTACTGTATTATTATGTTAAAGATGTTTCAGTATGTCCAAGTGTTTCTTAATGTTTACTCACATAGATACACTGTACACTATATCTAAAGCAGTCATTTGACTAACATTAGATACAAACCATACCTAACTGTTCCAATTTAATGTACAAATCGACTTACAGATTTAGGAACAGAACATGTTCATAATCTGGGGACTGCCTGTAGCATCAAAGGTAACTGACCTAATCTGCCTTACTAGGATGCTAGAAGGGGATTCCCTAGAGTTAATCGTCAGAAGATGAGCCTCATGGTATGTTTTTTCCTAATCGGTTCCCTTTTGGCATCACTTCTTTATCTGGCCTAAACGCCAATTCTTTCATTTTAATCATTCGCTATCACGTTCCCGTCTTGTCCCTTGTTCCTGTGATTCCTGCCATTCAGGACCTCACCTAGCTTAACCCAATTATTCCCCTTTGCTCCAGTATCCATTTCCTCTGCTCCAATATCCAAGCTATAGGCCATTGATGGAGGAAAATGACACAATCTTTAGAATGATGTGACACGAGATGTCTCTAACATTGCCCAACAACCCTTCTGTATGTCCTTACTTCCTCTGTAGCTATTCCAAACTTTAATCTCATTCCTCAAATTCTCTTCCACCCTCCCAGTTAGTTGCCTGTCACACTCAGAAGACTTTGACTTCTACTTCACTGGGAAGATAAGACCTTCAGAATCTTCACTTTCAAACTTCTCTCCCATCATCCAATCTGGAAAAAACCCCTCCATTCCAAGAGTAATCGCTCCATTTTCTTTCCTTTGTATTTAATCTCTCCCTTAAATTCCAAGACAAACCAAAAACCAAACATTTTTTGTTTTGTGAGTCAATTCCAACTCAAAGCAACCCTGTAGGACAGAGCTGAACTGCCCACAGGGTTTTCAAAGCGGTAATCTTTATGGAAGCAGACTGCCACATCTTTCTTCCATGTCTCTCTGACCTTTCAGTTAGCTGAACAGTTAACGACTGTCACTATGGCTCCTTCTCCCTTAAATTTTGTTGTTGTTAGGTGCCGTTGCCTCATCTCCGACTCATAGCAACCCTGTGTAAAGCAGAACAAAACACTGCCCAGTCTGTGCAAGCTCCACAATCCTTGCTATACATGAGCGCATCATTATAGCTACTGTGTCAATACATCTTGTTGAAGCCCTTCCCCTTTTTCGTTTACCCTCCTTAAATTCTAGATATCCCTTTATAAACAACTTGTTACAGTCATGTTTCTTAACCTTCATCTATCCATTCAACTCTGGCTTCTATTATTCTTTCCAACTATTCTGTTGTCAAAAACTTCCATAGTTCTAGATTTGTTTTCTCATCCTCTGCAGTATCCCGGGCAGTTGAATCACTCCAATGAAATACTGTTCTTGGATTTTGTGCTAATACCACTCCCACCTTTCTTCCCACCTGTAACCGTTTTGCGGTCAGTTTTACTTCTGCTCAGGTTCCACCAGGATGCATGACTTATCGTTCTCTACTCATCAAATGCCATTACTCTACAAACATCTTTTCTTCCAATTACAATGTTTCATCCTTCAGTTGAGACAGTATATGTTCTCTTGTACTCAAAGATCTTCTCTTAGGCGGTCTCCCCAGATCAGTACAAGCCTAATCCGACACTGATGCCCCTTCTCTGTGCTTACATTACAACCTCTTCAGATCCCAACTCTGCCACTGTGGCCTTGGACACATCATTTACCAATCCCAGTCTCAATAAAAACAGTAACGCACAGGCTTTCTTTATGTTTCAAAATGTCTAGCACAGTGGAAATCCTTAATAAATGTGATTTTGTTCCTCACAGTCGCATAGCTCCTTGTGACTCATGAGGGAACTAGAGGAATTGGATTCCAATACTGATAC